ATCAACAGGCTTTTTTTTTTTTTTTTAACTTAAAGTGTACACATGGATTTAGGAATAGTTCTGAGACATACAATAATCCTTAAAACTGAAAAATAATGGTGATTAATATTATTATTTTGAGATTCAGTATACATGAGTGTGCATGCATGTATATTTATGGGGGAGGAGAGTTTACTGCTATTCTTACACCCTAATGAACTCCAAAGACATACATGTATTAAAAAGGCGGGGGGAAGGCTGGTCTGGTTTTCTACATATATAGATGTAATTTCCCTCCTATTCTTCTTATAATCTTTTAAAATAACCACAATTTAAAACTTTTCCAAATAGAATCCAAACAAAGTATGTTCATTTCATATGAAAATATTAACAAGAATTATTAAGTTGGGGGAAGGACTGCCAAGTCAACTTCAATTACTTTCTTAAAACAATTTTGTCTTTAGCAAACACCGAGCTGTTTAAAAATATAACCATTTTTGGATAACACATGGCAGACAAGTGAAGGATGTGATAACCAATTTAAGGAAGATAACCTTAGAAAACTTGAAATTCAAATTTGGAAATAGAGAATAACTTCAGAAATACAGTTTGTGACTAATTTGTCTTAGTGATAAACATTTATCTGAATACTAAAGACAGGAAAAGAGAGATTACTAAAGACAGGAAAAGAGAGATTTCTTCCAACTATTCAAGACAGGGGTCTCGCCATACCACATTTTTCAACACAGCTTGCTTTCTTTCAAGATGACAGAAAACAGTGAGACAGACTTCGTGGAGATGGGAAGGGGATCTAGGGATGGGAGGAGATGGGAGAGGAAGGAAAGGGGGAGTAAAAAGGATCTAAATGGGATATGTACACGCACTAACTCCTCGCAAAGAATATATTCATTGTGCACCACAAACATATACCAAAAAAATTAACACAACTTTCAAAAGTCATCTAACATTTTGTAATTTATAAAGTCATTTAAACATGTAGCCAACCTGTATAATAAAATTTGTTTGAATTTTTGGTGCCGGAGACTGAACCCAGGGCCTCAGGCATGCTAGATGAGCACTCACCAATGACCTTTACACCCCTAGCCCTGTTTAATGTTTGTAAGTCACATATCAAATTAGCTTGCACTTCAGGACAACTAACGGGAAAACATATACATACATAGATTTAGGGACAATTAGGAGAACTATGGGATAACCCTAAACTCTGAAAAGTAACACCTGAAACAAGAAATGCAGTTTGGTGTTCCCAGCATTATTGATACTCGACACTGTTCTGTTTTTCAAAGGAGTAAAGTTATTATGCCATTAGTCAAATACCAAGGGTGAGCCAGTTTTAGTTGTTAGTAAATTCCTATTACGAGTATGCAGGGTGTAAGGCTAAATCTTCCCTTTCTCTTTTTACACACACAGTTTTCAACATACCAACCAAAAATAAAATCTACTTATGGGGAAATACTGAAGTGAATTTAGATTTATTTGAAAGTAAGACTTCAAAGAGGAGAAATAAATGTTGAAAAAAGTGTTAAAAGGATTTTGAAATAGCTTTTTTGGGGGGGCATCTGCTAAAATGAAACAGTTTGAACAGAAAAGTCATTTGCTATTACTAAATTAAAGGGGAAAAAATGTTTGGCAATTGTTTTCACACAGCTCTGAAAAGTGGCATTATTTTGCTCTATTTGACTAACACTGTGGACATCTAAACCTCCTCACTATTGAGGGGTACAGTGCAGTCCAATATCCTCAACAGTAATACTGTAGGTTTAATTTTCATTAAACTAGTGTAACTGACCATGATACATTACTTATTAGTGCCCCTAAGAAGGGCAACTACATAATATTCACTAGCTATAAAATACTGATAAAATAATTTCTATGGAGACTGAAACAATTATTTTCACAGAAACAAAAACAATTTTGTATCATACTATTGATCATCTAAATTTGAATTCCACTGGCTGCTGAGTTAAAATATCTATCTATCTATCTATCTATCTATCTATCTATCTATCTATCTATCTATCTAATTTTTATTTTGTGATTAGTTTCAAGACTTGTGATGAAGACACTTGGGGAGGAGTTCTGACCTAGACTTGAGAAGGGTGAGTGGAGACTGTTAACTGGTAAGACATAAGGGGGATGGCAAAGATTCTCACTAGGGGGAGAGCTGCTTACCTAGAATTAATGAGACAGATATTACTGACACACAAGCCAAACTGTAGAGTTTAGACGTGTTCTTACAGGTACAGCAGAAGGCAATACTAGATATTAAACACCATTCTTCAAAACAAGAAGGCAAAAACATTCACACTCAGACTATCTTCAAACTATCTTCAAACACTTAAGATGGTTGAAGAAAGTTAACCATACTTATCTCTCTTACAAAATCTACCTTAAAATCATACAGAAAACATGGCCAGGTGTGGTGGTGCATGCCTGTAATCCCAGCACTTGGGAAGCTAAGGCAGGAGGATCGCTGTGAGTTAGAGACCAGCCTGGGCTACAGTGAGTTCCAGGTCAGTCTCAGATACATAGTGAGACCCGGTCTTAAAAAAAACATGCAGAAAAACATACAGGATGAGAAAAACACACATAGCTTTTCTAAATACCAGATTCCATGAAACTGAACACTACTTCAAATTTAATCCTATTGAAAGTTTAGACTTTTAATGCATTTTCACAATTGTGTCAACTAAATATGCTGACAATTAAAACTTGTTGAGGATGTAGCTCAGTGGCAGAATGCTTGTGTAGCACATGTGCTAACCCTGAGTTCAATCCCCAGCACCACAAAACAAATGTAACAAATCAATATTTTAATCTCCCATCATATGAAAAGTGAATTGTAAAAAATATGTCTCTCACTGGGCATGGTGGTACACATCTATAATCCCAGCTACTTGTGAGGCTAAGGCAGGAGAATCACAAGTTCTAGGCCAGCATGGTTAACTTAGCAAAATCTTGTTTCAAAATTAATAAAAAAGAGGGTAGGGATTTAGTTCAGCAATAAAGCACATGTACAAGGCCCTGGTACTGCAAATAAAGCAAAGCAAAGCAAGACAAAACAAACACAACAATAAAAGAAGTATCACAGGACTTTTGCTCTGCCCTATGTAAACTTAATTTAAGGAAGCAAATCTGCAACATTATTATGTTAAAATTTATTACTTATATAGCTTCATCTTTTCTTTCCTTTTTTGGGGGTAGTTGTGTTAGGGAAGGCCTCACACATGCTAAACTCACATTCTACTACTGAGCTACAATCCTGGCCTCACCTTGTAATTTAAAATGCATTTATTTGTTAATTTAAGGTTGAAATCTAAACGAGGGAAGGGATGGTATTTCAACATCTATCTTTGGCTTTACTTGAACTCAAATCTCATCTGAGTTAATTTCTGCTCCTATTACATACCACCTTTGAGAAATAATGCAGAGAAAAAGCAAAGAAAAACTATCTTTACATTATAGAACTCCAATACTATGTTGCCCTTCACAGTCAAATGCATTAGTTTCACTCATCCTAACAATGTCTATGAGCTACTTTAGTGAAGATGAGTTACTCCCTTACTTGGTGTTTTGATGAAACAGACATTCATAAGACAGATAATGAAGAACAGAGTTTATTGCAAAGTTAACTGGTTTCTCTGAAGGCTGTACTAAACTTTATTAATATGGTGCTCCAATGGACAAGCCGAATCTTGCCAATTCCCACTTCAATGGTTGATTCTAAAGCAATGTAGCTGGGCATGGTGGTGCACACCTGTAATCCCAGCACTCGGCAAGCTGAGGCAGGAGATCACTGTGAGTTTGAGACCAGCCTGGGCTATATAGGGAGTTCCAGGTCAGTCCTAACTACATAGTGAGACCCTGTCTCAAAAAATCAAAACAAGAAAGAAAGAAAAGAAAAGAAAAAGAGAGAGCAAGCAAGCAAGCAATACACTTACTCAGTTTACTGTGGAAAGAGCTACCTGGAATATTAAGATGTTTCATGGTTGCCTCTACAAAGAAATACAATTTCTTCAAAGCTTTGCTCCTAATTTCTCTGTATCTTTTGGACACTACAGTTACAAGTTGCTTTTTTTTTTAATTTCAAGAATGCAATTCTTCTTACGATTCATTTAGGAGTCTGTGTTAAGACAGGAAAAATGGCCACAATTTTTACAGGTATCTTCACAACAGATGCTCCCTGGTATTCATCAGGGAGAAATGCCAATCAAGAAACCTCAAACACCATCCAAGTGGAACTTTCCCTCTTCTGACAGTTTTGATATTCTTCCTTTGGAACGTCCACTAGAAAGAATTCCTCTTTTTCTCAGTCTCATAATTCTGAGAAAGATTTCCAAAATTAGCCTACCCAAGTAAATAATCTGTACTCTTTTGCTACTGTTCTATTAATTCCTTTAAAACATTAAAACTTTCGATTCCCAGTAGAAAGGAAAAAAAAAATTAAAAAAATAATTTTAGCTGGGCATGGTGGCATTTGGGAGGCTGAGGCAGGAGGATCGCTATGAGTTCCAGGCCAACCTGGACCATACAGTAAATTTACGGCCAGCCTGAACTACAAAGTGAGACCCTGTGTCAAAAACAAAAAAACAATTTTGGGCCGAGGATTTAGATCAGTGGTTCTGCTGTCTGCCTCTCAAGCATAAGGTCCTGAGTTTGATACCTGGTACCAAAACAAAAAACAATTTTAAACTATACACATAAAAATTAGATATACTTTGACACTAACAGGATGTACAATTGAGACACAATACACTTCAAATATGTACTAAAAAGACCTCCACACAGTCAAATTGAATTCTAGAAACTCTGGAAGGACTGGGAATGGAGGAGATAGTGCAGAGTCTATAAGGAACAGTAACGTTAACTGTCTTGGTAGAAAGATGACTCAAAATTATATTCTGGCTAATCTTCAGTGAGGACAGGATCTTGGAATACAAGTTTCTTGCTTTCCTAATATCTTTTTTTCCCCATTGCTAAAACATCATATAAGAGCCTACCTGACATTTTGGAGAATTTGCTGTGCTGGGATTGATATTCCGCATTGCCTAAGAGTAAAAAATAAGATGGATAAAAATTACTTTAAGCCACATAATTTGGCTGTGTAGGCTGAGCTACAAATTGTATCCAGACATATCACCATAGCACAGAATTCCCAAGCTACCCAAGAAGCAGCAGACTGAAGAAGACAAGCCAATGGAGTCACCACATAACAAAACTAAAACCTCAGAAGTTTTTAATAGCATTGAGGATAGGACAGCATAGGACTAAAATTTTGGTAACAGTCAGGTAGGTTCTTTGCTTTTAAGCATTAGATGAAATAAGTAACATTTTTGATGTTTCACTGATAAGAAATACCGTCAATGGAAGTTCAGAGGAAGCCAGACAACTTAAGATGTACTAAAATTACACAGACTGCTAAAACAAAAACAAAAAATTCTTAAAACTAGATGATTAGTATGAGAATAGAGCAGACCTCTTCACTTCAGTATAAAAAAAAGACAACACAGTAGGCAATAAAGAAACAAAGAGGTTACCTTTAAAGAAAGTGAAGCTATTCTGTCCAGGACCCATCACCCAGAGTAAGAATGAGAATAAGATTTAGAAAAATTCTTTAGAATGAAGAGTTTTATAAGTAGCAGCGTTTTGCCCACCACAAACAAACAAAAACCAAACAGGCTAATCTAAGGTAAACAACAAAATAAACAGCCCATTTCTAAACTTTAAATTACTTTAAAAACAGCAAGACCTCAATGTTACCAATTAATTAAATAACTTTTATTAAAGTTTCCTGATTTAATAGTTCTGACATTGAGACCTGCATTATTTAGATCAACTAATAGCCGCAACAAAACGAAAGGCAAACAATGAAAACAGATTGTGTAAAACGTACTTTAAATGCTTTATTTTTTCAAGTAGCCACATAATTATTGACAGTGTTACCTTATTCTGACATTACAGTTTTAAGTGAAAAATACCTTTCCTCTACATTTATTAGAAAGTCAGAGGTACAATTAACCATATTACTATGCTTTCACTTTCCATCTTCTTTTTATTTTGGCCTTCTTTTTTTGAGACAGCGTCTCACTATGTAGTTGAGACTGACCTGGAACTCACTATGTAGCCCCAGGCTGGTCTTGAACTCACAGCAATCCTCCTGCCTCAGCCTCCTGAGTGCTGGGATTACAGGCATGTGCCACCATGCCCAGCCTCTTTCCATCTTCTTTATGTAATGAAGAAGCATCTCTTTCAAGACAGTGTCCTTATGTCATATGCTAGCACAAATACTATTCTCCATTAGGGCTCACTGTTAAAACCAACCACACCAGAATTACAGACAGTGCACAATTTGAGGGTGGGCCTGTCTGAGATTCCATGAATGTATTTAACTCCTCAGGTACCAGATGTTCATATTCCAAATCAGAGTTGAGACAGTATTGACTTTGTGTAATATCAAGTATATTCAAGTGATACTTTAAATATAGTCTTTTACAAAATGTATCTTTAATTTTCTATACCCTCATCAACAAAAATGTAGAGTATAATTAATTGTATTCCCCCCCCATACCAGAATTCAAACTTAGGACCTTGTGCTTGCAAGGGAGGTGCGGTGCCACTGAGCTAAATCTCCCACCCTGTATAACTGATTTCAAAATGTCTATATTTAGTATGTTATGATTTAGTGGGGGTAAACAAGATCCATATATGTCATTTTTGTTTGTTGACAATATTTCTGGGAGAAAAAACAAAAAGCAAGGAACTCAGTTACTTTACCTCTAGAGAGAAGAACTGGGGAAATAGGGAAAAGAACATTTTATTTCCTTCCAGTAAACTTTTACACTTACACTACTGTTTGTTTCTATTATCTCTTCAAAAATTTTATATAAATTGAGAAATATACTTAAGATCATATTCCAAATATCTGAACATTATCTTAAATACTCTGAAAGAAGATAAAGCAAAAACTGATTTTCAGATGAGACCTCTTTTTATTCAATATAAATATAGACCAATAAATAGCACTCCCTAAAAGAAAACTGATGGCAATAATTATAAAGGGGTTTAAGCTCTTTACCAACTGTTACATACTATCTTTCCCAGTAAGAAAAAACATTTATAAGAAGGTAACCCTGCCCACTCCATGCTGGGGATTGAACCCAGGGCCTTGCCCATGGTAGTCAAAGGCTCTACCACTGAGCTAAATCCCCAGCCCAAAAACCAGGTAATTTTAAGATACTGAAATTTCCTAAATTTGGGTATAACTCATATTTTAAATGAGAATTATTAAGATTTGGCAGGCCAGTGATTTAGCTCAGTGGTTCTGCCACCGGCCTCACAAGCCCAAGGACCCAAGTTCAATCCCCGGTACCAAAAAAAAAAAAGAAAGTTTGGCAATACCGAAACATATCTGCCATTCAAGAAAAGTCATGTTGGCATATTCCTCCAACACACAAATAATACACTTAACAATGTCTTTTTTCCCAAATAATGCTGCAGAGTATCCCCATTAGCAAAATCCTCAGAAACATAGTAATATACAATTTCATGTACATGTGAGGAAGCATTCTTGCTTCAATTTTCTCTCAACTTCAAGGACCATGGCCAAAACAGCTCTTTGAAATACAGGATTTTACAAGTTATAGCCCATATGATCAATAGCCAATCAAAAAACTAAGACAAGGACAAAACCAGACCAAATGCTTGTATGTCTTTCTAATTTTAGAAAAACAATATTCCCCTGTAACTAATAATACTAAAATGAAATCTGCCCAACTTCAAAAGGAAAACAAAGCCCCGAAAGTAGAAGGCTGGTTTCTAACCTGTGGCCTCACCTGCCGAAGCAGCTCTTGCTGTTTCAACCGAAGTCTTTCCTTCTCCATCTGCAGTTGTTGGAGACGTATCTGTTGCTGTTGGTTGGAGCTGCTACCACCCATAACACCTCCCTGTGGGCTCTGGGGAGCCAAGGGAGGTGGCTGCTTTACTGGAGCACTTTGACTGATTCTCTGGTTCATGGCTGAAATGAAACAAAAAGATTTGTCTTTAAAATCTAGTTAAATAAAAGGATAATTTAGTTATTAAGAAGCAAATGAGAATGTTCAATGTAGGTTTTTGGTAATATGACTAAAAATAATCTAAAAATCCATCAGTAGTATTATGGTTACATTAACTTCTTGTCATCATTGTTATGGATGAAAGGCAGCAATAGAAAAACAGCTACAGCAGGTATGAATTAAACAGATAAGAAGCATACTAATATTGGTTGGCACTGATGGCGGAAAAATGGGTGACTGAAACACTGAGTTCAAGACAGACTTTCCTAACTTCTGAAGTTTGAATCACGTAAATAGAGTTGTACCTCAGTACTTACTAACTGGTTCCTGGAGGTGCTACGAGTACCAAAACCTATGACTATCAAAATGTTTTGGCTGGAAGGGGGATCCAGTCATGAGGCAACTGATAACAATTTCTAGCTTGTGTGGGCAAGTATCAAACAAATTTTCAGTACCAGGATACAATTTTCATGTCAAACATGTCAAGTACCAATTCAATGAGTTTCCAAGCAACTAAGAACCAAGGTATGACTTCACATTATGTATTAAAAAATAAATACATACATAAAATTAAAAATTCATCTTCAAAAACAATGAAGACAAAATGCTGAGTAGGAAAACTCATCAAAACAATCCCATATTTATATCGCCCTAATGGAACAAATACATTAAAATGATCTATGTTCATATCAAGTGAGTCTACAAGCATTTTGCTGTCTCATTCAACACCACTGCACCCAACGTACAGTCTGGGTAGTCAACTCTTTTTACTTGAATGCATAATACACTATCTGCCAGTAAGAAATGGACTGATTTTTATACTAGTGAACTTTTGCCACTGATACAATGTAGAAATGATAGAATCTTGTTTCAGAAGCATATATACCATTTTTGGGTTTTTTTTTTTTTTTTTTTTTTTTTTGGTACCGGGGATCAAACTCGGGACCTTGTGCTTTCAAGGCAGGGGGTGGAACCACTGAGCTAAATCCCTGGCCTTATATATACCATTTTAAATTGAAATTTTTGGTCACTGTTTCTCCTAAAACTTTACAATACAGCACACATTGACCAGAAAAAAACCCTAGGCTCAAATAAGGAAGAAATAATATCAATCTTATAAGATACCACATCTTTCAGAGTACAGCAAAAAGGAAATACTTCCCAACATTTAGGAGTCCAGAATAAACTATAATTTACACAGGACAGCAAAACAAAGAAAAATTACAGAACTAATCTCTTATAAACCTTGCTAAAAACAGCATATTCTGACAGCACTGTAAATTACTAGCAATCCTTGTGATTTTTCACATTTCTTCTTTGTAAAACAGTGGCTGCTTCGTGATGGCTACCTCTCCTTGAGCAAATTTCACAAGTCTATTAAAGTCCAATGGTATCCCATTTGGGATCTCTCCTCTCTCTCAGGAGCTATTCTTAATTCTCCATTCTTAGTCCCCACTAAATTTTCCTACTCTTAAAAAACAAAAAAATAAAATAATAACCATCTTCTTGAGCTGAAGACACAGCTCAGCGACAGAACATGTGCCTGGAACTCACAAGGCCCAAAGTTCAATCCCCAGCACCCCAAAACAGAAAAAAAAGGAATCTTCTTCCCTCAGGACATTGCCTGAAAACATTTATTTTGTCCACTGACATTTCTTACCTAACTATAATCTTTGATTTACAGATTTGTAACTTTAGACTGCTCTAGGAGCAAAGGTAACATCTTACTCATTTATAAATTCTCAGTGTCTGGCATTGTGACACAAAGTATGTTCTGAAAAACACGTCACTATTTCTATGTTGAATATTTACTAAGGCAGAAAATTAATTAAGGCAGGAGTATCTAATCGATGGCCTCCATGCAGCCCTGGGCAGCTGGTAATGTGGTTCTACAAGATGATACACTGTTTAACATCATTATGTGATTTTTAGTGGTATTTTTCATAATTCTAACTCAAGAAAAGACCAGATAGGTAACAATGGAATGCTGTGCAGGAGAGGGCACAATGCAGTGCTAACTCTTGCTTCCCATAGTTGAAACAGCATGACTCAGACATTACATGTGCTTGTGCGACTTGTGAGTAAAACAAACCAATTACTGATGGTATTTCCACCTATGTGCTGTGTGTACCTATGAAGACAGACGCTTATTATTAAACATGTTATTAAACTTCAACTTGTATTATTTCATAAAATACAAGGTTTTTTAGCAGCAGTGGTATAGTTAGTATAAAAATGTATCCAATAGTGTTGTGTGCGTTATACTGTTATAATTACATATACTACCAGGCTAATACTGGAATAATATTGATTTACTCATTAATTTTAAAAAATTCAACATGGCTTCACAAAAGAAAGTAGAAGCTGGGCATGGTGGTGCATGCTTAGTCTCAGTATACTGGGAGGCTGAGGCTGGATGATCACAAGTTGGAGCCCAACCTGGGCAATTCAGTAATTTAGACCCCGTCTCAAAACACAAAACAACAAAGGGGGTGAGGGCCTGGGATTTGGCTCAGTGGTAACCACACCTGCCTCTAAAAGCACAAGGCCCTAAATTTGATCCCCAGTATTAAAAGGGTGTGTGTGGGGGGGTGTAGCTCAGTGCAAAGGTCCTTGGTGCAATTCCCAGTATTGGGGGAGGTTGGGGGAGGGGGTCTCCTAAAATTTTTTTAGGTAAAGAAAAGAACAGTATTTAACAAAAAACTAGACACGAGTACTTTTTGTGGAGATAAGGTACTGTGTTTAATTTGTACAGAAAGTGTGTCACTGAGATTACAACTTGAAAAGACATCATATGCAGGGCTGGGGATGTAGCTCTGGGGCACTGCCCCTGCCTGGTAAGCGCAAGGTCCTGAGTTCGATTCCCTGTACAAAAGAAAAGATTAAGACAAGGAGAGAGAGAG